GAGACAGAAAAGAGAGACTAAGGCTGCAAGCAGGAAGGAAGACCTGCCTGCCTCAGTGGATGGGGGGGGGGGAGTGGGCGTGGCTTGTCTCTTAAAGAGACAGAATCATCACATTCCCATCTCTATTTTATAATAAAAAGGCTGGAGATTAGGCACCACAGGTTAAAGGAATTGGGGTGGCAGATTCTCAAGACTTCTGCTTCTTTGTGGGTGTTGTCTTTGGGGGGAGAATCCTGAGAAGGCTGGGTACTGGTCACATCCTGGCATAGTCGGTCTCTTTGCTCCTGTCCAGAGTTTGTGGTATGGAAATGTCTGGTGTCTCTTACACCTGTTTAAGGTATTGGCAGAACAGAAGACAAAGTTAAGGAAAAAATTTTTAGGACCAGGGAATTGAGGGGGGTGTATCTGACCTGTTTAAGGTGGATCCTTCAATTCGGCTCCCTGGAACTCACAAGAATTCTTTGGGTTTGTGAAAACCTAAGTTTTAGACATATACGTTGTATAAACAGTAGCATGTTTATGTCAGAATGACTGTGACAGATGTTTTTGCACAATGAAAAGTATTTTTAAGATTATGGAAGGCCCAATGAGAGAAAAGTTTGATAACTTGTATTTGCCCTCATACCTTTATAACTTGCAGGCACACACCTTAATAACTTGTAACTGTAATTTACTGACATTTGTTTGGTGAGGTTGTCCTTTTTTTTTTTTTTTTGGTTTTTTGAGACAGGGTTTCTCTGTGGCTTTGGAGCCTGTCCTGGAACTAGCTCTTGTAGACCAGGCTGGTCTCGAACTNTTTTTTTTTTTTTTTTTTGGTTTTTCAAGACAGGGTTTCTCTGAAGCTTTGGAGCCTGTCCTGGAACTAGCTCTTGTAGACCAGGCTGGCCTCGAACTCACAGAGATCCACCTGCCTCTGCCTCCCGAGTGCTGAAATTAAAGATCTGCCACCACTGCCCAGTTTATCCATTTTTTTTAAAGACTAATGTCTTGGTGTGGGGGCAGGTACACCTGCCATGGTGCATATGTACAGGTCAGAGGAAAGCTTTCCAGGATCAAATTTGGGTAGTAAGACTCTATGGCAACCTAGTTGTTTATTTTTTTTAAGAGTGACCATAATATATCCAGAAATGAGTCTCATTTGGGGAGAGGAGAGGTATGAGAAAGATTATCCTGGGTGGACATCCATCCCCCAAGTTCTATTATTCTGGTCAAACCCCTAATGGGATAAAGATTGCCTCTACTGGGCTCATGGATGATAAATACTACAAGTCGCTGCAAGGAGATAGGAACTTCCATATAAAATTGGTGCATCTGGAGACAAACAAAGGTGCAGTCCCTAGGGCCTCTGAAAGTCCCAACAAGAGCCTTGTGGCCCTCAGTAATGTCAACTGCAACACCTCTTCCTTGAACAACTCAGCGCCTAGCAATGCATGGCCAGTCTATCAACTGCCCTAGAAGGAAAAGATGGGTTGAGGTTTGTAGATATGCACCACACCCAATTAGAACCCAGCTGCGCAGCCATTAGTGAGCTTGGAACTGCAGCTGCAGTGCTCTGATGGACAAGATTCCATCATAACTAGAGTATCAGGGTTTCTGTCGGGCACCACTACCGTCCCTGCATCCCTGCACACACAGGCCCTGGCCCTCTAGCCTTTGGGGAACAAGCTCCCCTACGTGGTTGTAAGCTTGCCACCTGCTGGAGTTTTACTTGCTGAATTCCAAGTGCTGAATTCCCATGAGGGGTGGGGTCCAGACCCTACCCCCTTCCCATCTTTTGGTGCTCCCTAAGATTGCTATAGACCCTCCCTGAGTATCTGCCTGGGCCGTGCTACACTGGGCGCCTTACTTATTGCCTGACTTTTGCCAGCCTGTACACTTGGTCTGGACCGGTCTCGAGCCTCACTCCTCACGCTTAGAAGTAGCAGTCCTTTGCGGCATATCCATGCTCCATGAGGTGCAGCTTCTCAAACCCTAAGATCCAGTTCCCAGTTTCTACCACCAGGGTGCAGCTCGACCTTTGCAACTTGGAACTTTGCAGCTTGCTCTGCTGGATGCATAACTTCACTGCACTCGACCACATTGGACTCTGTCTTCCTGACCCAGCAAGGACATTAGGTGGTTTCTGTGCAAAAGAGCAGGCCCAGATTCCTAAGCTTGGTGGGAGGGGTTACTCTACAAATGGGATTTTGTGCTGGTAAAATCTTAAATTTGAAATGCAAAGAAAAAAATGGATGAAAAGAGAAATGGGAGAGAGACTAAAACAAGCCTCAGGTAAGAACTGAAGCAGCCTAGGACCTAGGGTAGAGAGAGACATTACATAATAGGAGAAAGTCCTTATGGTTATTCCACAGGGTGACTGATAGCCAGAGAATACAAAGAACTAAAGAAAAGAAAAATTGAGGGCTGGATAGATGGCTCAGTGGTTAAGAACATTGACTGCTCTTCCAGAGGTCCAAGGTTCAATTCCCAGCACCCACATGGCAGCTCACAACTGTCTAGAACTCCTGTTCTGGAGATCTGACACCCTCACACAGATGTACATGCAGGTAAAACACCAGTGTACATAAAATAAAAATAAATCATTTTTAAAAGTTGAACCCCCCCCCATTATAGATAATACAGTCAGTAAATGGCAAATGAACTAAGCAGAAACTTCTTAAAAGTTCAGCACCTTGCCATGCTTGGTGGTATTTTATGGACTCTGGAGCCAGAGGTAGGAAGATCTCTGTGAGTTTGAGACAAGCCTGGTCTTCATTGTGAGTTCCAGGTCTACATATCAAGACCCTGTCTTCACAAAATAAAACAGAAAAAAAAGTTCAACATCTTTAGCTATCAGGGAAAAGCAAATTAAAATTCCATCAAGATTCCATCTTTCTGAAGTACAAATTGCTGTCACCAAATGGTAGGGGTACGGGGAATGAGAGATGCTTTATACAGTATTGCTGGAAATGTAGTAGAAATCAGTAGAAAGTTTACTCAAAAAAACAAAAACTAACAACCCAGCTCTGCTACCCCCAAGTGTGTGCCTAAAGGAGCCACCATTCCACAAAGACACTGGCACAGCCATATTCATTGCAACACCATTCACAGTAAATCATTAGGGAATCTGCTTAGGTGCCTGTCAGCAGGAGCGGAGAAAGAAAATGTGAGAAAACAATAAAGAGAAGCCAGATGTAATGAGCCCATTGATGCTGGAGAGCCTGATGCAGGCTTCAAGCATTCTACCAACTGAGCCATACCCCCAGCTCTGAATAGCTCTTTAAAAGTGTTCATTTAAAAATTGTCATCAAATAGACATAAACTAGAATTTATCATTTTAAACATCCAGAGACTCTAGGAGGAAAGCCTGATTCAGATTCTCCTATACTTTCAGTTAACAATCAGAATAGAAAACTTGTGACCAGGTAGGTAGGTGTCTTCTAATCAATTTTTCAATTCTATCTTCACATAGTGCACTTGGATTTAGCATCACCTTGTTTCTGTGATCTCAATTCCAATAGATTGCTCCCTCCACTTCTCATGCTAATTACAAAGTCCTGGTGGTTTAACTTGTTTTTCTTTTCTTTTTTTTTTTTTTTTTGGTCTCCCCCACACCGAGGGGGGGTAGGCGAGATAGTGCCACACAGCACTCTACTGTGAACACCTAGAAGTACTTACTGTGCTTTTGATTGACAGACTAGAAACAGGTTCCCCTAAGTCCCTCCTCATTTGGATTAATGTACTAGGGCAGTATTTTACTTACCTAGTTATTATAATAGTTGCTACAGAGGATACTGATTAAACACCAAAGGAAGAGGTGGATAGGGCTGGGGATGGGGGCAGGGACAGAGATCTCATGCCCTCTGCAGGAGGAACTACTCAAGGAGGAATCTCAAGGAACTACTATGTGTTCAGCTAAACAGAACCCCTTCGAATCTAGTCCTTTTCAACATGTTTATGAACACAATTCATTACAACCATGGTTCTTAAACATGAACCTTTTGCCAGTCTCTGGAGAAGTTGGGGGTGGGGCCCAAGTCCCAGCTTTCAAATTCCATTTGGCATCTGGTCACCCAGCCCCCCACTCTGAAGCTACCTAGAGGCGGCAGTCAACAGGCAATCATTAGCATGTAAAAAGATAATCATTTTGAATATTCCAAGCATTTTAGGAATTGCATTCCAGGAAACAGAAGCAAAGATCAAAACTGTATTTTACAAAAATCACAACCATTTTAAAGCATAGAGTTGAGCTAAAGGCATTAAGCAAGTTCACACTGTCAAAGCAGCCAGCACCATTGCTCGTCTCTGCAACTCTGGAACTCTTGTGGTATTTTGTTTGTATGTTTTGAAACAAGATCCCCTGTAGTACAGGCTGACCTCTACCTAGCTATGCAGCTGAGGCTGATCTGGGTGTGCTTCTGATCCTCCTGCCTCTACCTTCTGGGTACTGGGATCACAGTGCACTTTCCCAACCCTTTGTGTGGCTCTAGGGCTAGAAGAGCTCAAGGGTGCTAGGCAAGCACTCTTAGCAACTGAGCTATGTCCCAAGTCCCTGGAAACTTCGTTTAAAACTTTTTTGTGCTGTTGGAGATGGGAGTCCAGGGCCTCAAGAATGCTGAGCAACTCTACCTCTGAGTTACCTCCCCAAACCTTTCCCTTTGTCTACTTCAAGTTTGACTCTTAGCTACTGATGAACACTTGGCCTCCTTCTGTTTGTCAGCTGATTAATATGCTGACTTGAATAGTCAAGTACAATACAAAAAATATTCAACTGGAGTATGGTAGTGCTGAGGGCTTGCCTAGTAAATGTGAGGCCCTAGGTTGGACCTAGCACCACAAATAATGTGTATCAGTTTGGAAACTATATTGTCGCGGTGCTCGCCTTTAATCCCAGCACTCAGGAGGCACAGGCAGGTGGATCTCTGTGAGTTCTAGGCTGATTGTAGTTCCAGGACAGGCTCCAAAGCTACAGAGAAACCCTGTCTCGAAAAAGACTATTTTGTTTGTAAGCAGCATTTTGCTCTAGGCCAGGTTGGCTTGGAATTATATAACCCTAGCTGGTCATCATCTCAAGGCACTCTCTCTGCCTCATCGCCTCAAACTCTGGGGTTACAAGTATCAGCCACTATTACAGGCTGAAAATGTAAAAGTGGGGATGCAATTTAGTGATAAGAGTGATTGTCTAGTATCAAGGCTCTGAATGTTGTAATCTGCTGGCCTGCTCTATCACCTGGACACCCTGTCCCTTTAAGACACAAGCTCCTAGTCCCCCTCCCCCCCCCTTTCCACCAAGGCACACAGATCTTCCACCTCCTCTCCAGCCCGCTCTCTTGCTCTCTCTCTCTGTCCTTTCCTTCTGGAGAGGCAACTTCTGCCTCTCTCTCCCTTCTTCTCCCCTTCCCTCTCCCCTGCCACAATCCACTAAATAAACTCTATATCCCAGCTCTCTGTCTGTCTCTCGCTCTCCATCATCTCCCACCCGCAAAAGGATCCGCAGAGGCCTCGGGTGGCCCCGCCCTGCCGCCCCGCCCCTGTTGCCCCTTGTGGGACTGCTGCCCTCACATAGGGCTGGCCTCAGGTCCTACCTCTTTATAAATGATAACACTGAGTCTGAATCCCAGCATATCTCTCTCTCTCTCTCTCTCTCTCTCTCTCTCTCTCTCTCTCTCTCTCTCACACACACACACACACACACACACAGAGTAATAATATGATGGCCTAGTACAGTGTGGTGCGAACTTGCAGTTCTAACTACTTAGGCTAGGAAGGAATACTACTTGATTTTGGTAATTTGGGACCAGCCTGAATAGAATAGCAAGAACACTTCTTTTTTTTTTTCAGTCACTGTGGCTGATTTCCTTTATCATCATTATTGCCATTTGTCACATCATGTTTCCTGCCAAACACTTTTTATTTGGATTTTTTTTTTGTTTTGTTTTTCGAGACAGGGTTTCTCTGTAGCTTTGGAGCTGTCCTGGAACTACCAGGCTGACCTCGAACTCACGGAGATCCTCCTGCCTTTGCCTCCTGAGTGCTAGGATTAAAGGCGTGCACCACCACCACCTTATCTAGTTTACACTAGTTTTATGTTAATACAGCCTTCAAATTGTAGTCAGGGTTTAGACAGACGCCTTCGATCCCATCCCCAGCACTACAAAACAAACAAGTAGTTTGGTCAGGAGTGAGGGTTTAGGAATGGGATGGGGAAATGGGGCTCAGTAGAGGAGCATTTCCTTAATATGTGCAAGGGTGCAAGGCCTTGGGTCCCCTTCCCATCCCTCCAAGGGAGGCACGGAGAAGTCAAGGCTTGAATTAGTGTGTTTCCTACTTTTTATTTATCTATTTATTTATTTATTTATTTATTTATTTATTTATTTATCTATCTATCTATCTATCTATTTATTTATTATGCCTGCAGGCCAGAAGAGGGCGCCAGACCTCATTACAGATGGTTGTGCGCCACCATGTGGTTGCTGGGAATTGAACTCAGGACCTTTGGAAGAGCAGGCAATGCTCTTAACCACTGAGCCATCTCTCCAGCCCCTTTTTTTTTTTTTTTTTTTTTTTTTTTTTTTGATTTTTCTAGACAGGGTTTCTCTGTAGCTTTGGAGCCTGTCCTGGAACTCACTCTGTAGACCAGGCTGGCCTCGAACTCACAGAGATCCTCCTGCCTCTGCCCTCCTCCTCCCCCCCCCCAGTGCTGGGATTAAAGGCGTGCGCCACCACTGGCGGCAGCAGTGTGTTTCGTACTTAAGATTCTCTCTAGGAGTCGTCACAATGTCATCTGAGGGCCCTATCAGGGAAGCAGTCACTTCAAAAGCCTTTACAACGTAGAGAGAGAGTCGCTGCAAGCGGGAGGACAAGGGGCCGGGCGGGACAGGGGCACCTGCGTGGCTGGCCTGCCAGTCGTGCCCAGCCTGCGCTGCCCCCACCCGGCCCCGGCCCCCACCGGTACTGGTGGGGCAGCTTTTCCTGATCCCGTCTCCTCCTTCCTGGTCTCCTCCCGGTCTGACCGATCCCCAGCCTCCTTGCTGCTTCAAGATTCTAAAACTGCGATTTCCTACAATCCTACTCACTGTCACTTTGGACTTGTTCTGCCTCTTTGCTCCCAAACAGTCTTCGAAACCGGGACTCCCTCCCCTCTCCTAAAAGTCTTCCCTCCAACCCACTTCAGACCTTGTTCTCCCCCTCCCTGGATTAGGCATTCACATCCCTTCCAAATTAACCCCCACCCCAACTCTCCAAATACTTGACACCGCCTTCACTGAGGACCGCCAGCCTTGATTTTGTACCCAGCACAACAGCGCTATCATGGAGGCTGTGTTCCCCTTGGTAAACTGGACGGTCCCGGTGCTGGACTGGATGGGCCCAGTGCTGGAGTGGTTGACTTTCCTGTTGGATCTTAACTTTTTGTTTGTGTCCTTCCTCCTGGCAAGCTTGGCCTGGCTTTTGGCCCTCATCTACAACCTGTCACACACGGTACTGACTTATTTCCTCCACTTTGGGCAAGTCCTGCTCTCGTTACTGGCCTTGGTTGAAGCACTGGTCGAATTTACCTTTGTGGGGTTGCAGCCCTTGTTTGCTTTTCTCTACAGCTGCTATTCTAGCTTGGAGAGCTTAAAGCTCCTAGGGCACCTGGCCTCTCATGGAGCTCTGAGGAGCCAAGAAGTACTGACCAGGGGCATCCTGAACATGGTCTCCAGCAACCATGCTTTGCTGTGCCAGGCCTGTGACATCTATGGCATTGCCATGAGCCTGGTGGCCTATGTGATCAATAGTCTGGTCAACATCTGCCTCGTCAGCACTCAGAACCTCTTTTCCCTGGTGCTGGCCCTGTGGGCTGCCATGGCAGGGGCTCCTTGGCAGATGCTAGACGTGCTGGTGGCTTTCCTCACTCACCTTTCTAGCAGTGGGATGGCCATGGCCAACCTCCTCTGGACCCCCTACCAGCTAGGGCTAGAGCTGTTGGCCTCAGTGGTCCTCCTCCTGGCCGGCTCTATGCTTTCCAATCTTACTATTTTCGTGTTGTTGGTTTGTATGTTGGCAGTGACTTTGACTGTGTTATACCCAGATTTTACCTTGAGGCTAGCCACCGGAGCACTCAATCAGCTCCATGCCCGACTATCCTACCACCAGCTCCGAGAAGATGTTGTTCGGCTCTGTCGCCTGGCACTGGGTCTGGAGGCCTGGCGCCAAGTCTGGAGACTTAGCCTGCAGCTGGCCAGCTGGCCGAATCAGGGAGGAGCGCTGGGGGCCCCACAACGTGTTGCCAGGAGGATGTCTTCAGCCAGAATCCAGGGACAAGACAATCTTCGTGAAGAAGAAGAAGAAGAAGGCGACGATGACGACGACAACGACGACGAAGAGGACAAAGAGGACATCAGGAGCTTCAGATCGGTATCCACATCCTCTAGAGGCCGAGAGAGACTCAATGAGGATGAACTTCCAGCAAGGCACGACCCATGGAGGCTGCTGGAGGAGCAGGAGGCGAGGAAGAGATGTGTCATCTGCCAGGACCAGAGCAAGACCGTGCTGCTTCTGCCCTGCCGGCACCTGTGCCTGTGCCAGGCCTGCACCGAGATCCTCATGCACCAACCTCTCTACTTCCGTAACTGCCCACTCTGCCGCCACCGCATTCTGCAAACCCTCAATGTCTACCTCTGATGACTCCCTCCCTGCCCGCCCACCCACTGCCCTCCACACAGTGGGACCACTTCAGCATTTTGCCTCTGGGTTTTGGCTAAACCTGAATTTGGGACTATTTACCCTGAGGCACTCAGTTCCTGGATGAACTTCAGGAGGGATTCCCAGATTTCAGCTCATTCCTCTCACACCTCCTACGGCACCGAACATGGTATCCCTCCCAGTCTCTTCGTGGCATTCTGCATTTCCCTAGAGTTCAAACAAGTGGCTAGGCCTTGGGGCATGCAGTGCCATTAGGTCTGCCTGCCCAGTTTCTAAAAAAATAAATAAAACATATAGAAGAACGAAGGGCTTCAGTTTCCTATTGAATGTTCCTTAGCTCCTATAGTCTAGCCAACCAGCCTCTAGCTTTTGCCACTTAAAATGCCCCAAGTTGCCAGGCGTAGTGGTATCCACCTTTAATCCCAGCACTTGGGAGGCAGAGGCAGGTGGATATCTGTGAGTTTGAGGCCAGCTGGGCTACACAGAGAAGCCCTGTCTGGGGGGCAAAGTGGGGTATACTACACCTCAGGTGGTTGCTTGCTTTAACAAAAGCAGCAGAGTAAGAGTCTCCTCAGTAGATGGTTGTTTCATCTTTAATGTACAAATATGTTACATAATAACCTGTCACACACTTGATAGGAGTGGGTTATATAATAAAAGATGTGAACATCAAGACATGGGAGAAATGGAAGCCATCACAAGTGTGTGTCCATTATATTGGTGTTTAATCTTCAGGTCTAGAAAGAAATGTACTTTTTTGTGTGTGATTTGAGGCAGAGTCTCACTATGCAGCCCTGGCTGGCCTTGTACTTACTGTGTAGCCCCAACTGGCCTTAGTCTTGCAGCCATCCTCCTGCCTCAGGCTTCCATGAAGGCCCTCAGGAAAAGATTTGCATTCTGATATCATCTATGACCCTGGGGATATATAGAGGTAACCAATAGGTTAGATCCTAGGCCACACAGATGGATCTTTTTTTTCCCTGTTTTTTTTTTTTTTTTGGCAGGGTCTTATATATAGCCCAGGTTAGGCTGAAACTCACTATCCTCCAGCCTCAGCTTTCCAAGTTCTAGAATTATAGGAGTGATCCAGTGGGTTTGGCTCTTTACTTTTATTTATTTTTTATAATTTATTTTATTTTATGTATATTGGTGTACTACCTGTGTATATATCTATATGAGGGTGTTGGATCCCCTGGAAAAAGTTTACATACCGACCGTTGTGAGCTGCCACGTGGGTGCTGGGAATTGAACCCAGGTCCTCTGGAAGAGCAGCCAGTGCTCTTAATCCATTGAGCCATTTCCATTCCTGCTTTACTTTTATTATTTATTTATTTTTTGGAGATAGGGTCTCAGTGTATAGCCTTGACTAACCTGAAACTTTCTATGTAGACCAGGATGACTTTGAACTCATAGAGCACTTCCTTCTACTGCCTCCCGAGTGCTGGGATAAAAGGGGCTCACCACCATGCCTGGCTTTTTTCTTCACTTTTAATGTATGTCATGTCACCATACTTTGTTTTAATTCTATTTTGATTTTTTTCTTTAGTTTCAATTATAAATGAAAGAAAAAAGAAATTCTTTCTGGAACAATACCTGGGCATAAATCTATGCATTTATGGAAAACAAGTAAATGCAGACAGTAAATTTAAAAAGAAATTGTGAGAGATTAAATGAGAGGAGACAGATAGGGAAAGGAAGATGCAGAGAGCTGAGGCTACACGAGGAAAATAAACACAGCCATGGAGAGGTGAAGGTAAGACAAAGAACTGAGCGAATGCAAAGGAGCCTTTAGTGAGCTCCTACCTCCTATCACGCCTATAGAACTTTGTGTTCATTTTGAGGTTGCAGTCGCTGGTAATAGCTTTATTTGGGCACAAGGCTAATTCATAGCAGTTTGAACTGAGCTGTCCATCATCATGTCCTCTGGACTGAACTCATTTTTCTGGGAACATCGTGCTCCACGGCATGCATCCAGTAATTGTTTATCCATCTAATAGTGTATAAAGTCTGTTGTTTCCCCAAGGACATAAACCAGACCTTTATTTCAGCCCACTGAGTCAATTTTCCTTGTCTGTCTGGTAATTCAACAGCAAGGTCTATTGCCTTAGCAACTGCCCTTCCACTACCATGGCAACCGCCAGTGCAGACTTCAGTTCTCCACTTTGCCCCTTGGACATCTCCATGGCGATGTGCAGGATGAAGAGAAGGCCAGAGCCCCAGTTCTGCGCCTGCGTAGAGTGACAGGAGGGGGTGAACAGGAGGGGGCCAGGCTCCTGGATGTGCGCAGCCTCAGAGAGCCACGGCTGTGCCCACTAGTCCCAGCTCTGCGCACTTGACAGCCAGTTCGCCCGTCCGGAGCCCGGCTCGTTGGGGCAGCATGGCAGGGTCGCCGCTGCTCTGGGGGCCGAGGGCCGGGGGCGTCGGCCTTTTGATGCTGCTGCTCATGGGTCTTCTGCGGCTTCCCCCAGCCCTGTCAACGAGGCCCGTAAAGGTGCGATTCCAGTTAGCAAGGAGTGGGGGTGGGGAGGAAGATGGGGGAAAGTGTTGTTGAGACATTCTTGCTGGTTTGTGCATAGAGATTGGCAAGGGTGTCCTGGGCTGCAGCTGACAGTCCCCCCACATAAGCCAAGCGCAGTTTCTGGGTGTGAGGGAGCTGGTGCTCAGGGCTCAGATAGCAGCAGATGCATCCTGAACATCCCTCAGCATCTGGGGCCTGGTCTGACCTCGACCCGCCCCGAGAGTGGTCTGTGGCTGTGTCCATGGCAGTAGGGCATATTCAGAAAAGATGTCGGTGTATCAGTATGCGAGCCTGGGATGTGATGACCGAGGTGTATAAATATTGTGTTCTTTTAGTATGTCTTTTGGTTTGACTGCCCCTAAACGTCCTGTAATACTGGAGATTCTTCTTTGACTTTTTTTGTGGGCCTGATTGCTTTCTCAGTGATACCATTTGTGAACCCTTATGTGTAATGACGTAGTATATGGGCGCACCTATGTGTTTCTGTGTTTTTTTTTTTTTCATTTTGGAAGGAGTGGTTCTTGTACCTCAGGGTACATATTTCATGGTGTCAGATTGAGTGCTTGGGGTTTTCATTGTGCATCCATGAGATGATTTCCTTCTTGCTTCATTGTGGAGCTGTGTCATTGCAGGGGAAGAAGCCATGATGTCTCTGCTCTGCATTGTGTTTTTCAAATGATGCCTAGCCTTGCACCTGGGTGGCTCAAAGAGCATTACAGCAGACATTTCCCCAACAAGGAATGTGCACATAGGCACGAAAGACCACTTCTATGCAGTTCCTTGCAGTAGATACAGCAGTGTCGGGTTGCATTGTGACATTTCAAGGGCTGTGTGTGTGTGTGTGTGTGTGTGTGTGTGTGTGTGTGTAGAGGGATTGCTGGTGATTGATTTCCCCAGGGGCTGAGTGCTGGATCCTGACCAAGGGGAGGGACATGGAGCAGCTTGCTCCTCTACCTCTTAAAAGCTGTCTGAATCACTGAGGATTTTTTTAGTTATTAAATATTTAGGATGGAACAATCTATCTAGCAGATATGTAGGTTATAAAAATAATGAAATAATCATCATAGCCACTATTCAGCTTAAGGGATAAAGTATGACTGATACTAGGACTCCTTTGCTAGCGCTACCTTCTATTTTCTGCCCATTGATTCCATTAGCTTTAAATGACGTTTTGTTTAGTTTCTGCTTTTGGAACATCATAGAAATGGAGTCAAGCTAGCTATCGGCTTTCTGATGATCTCACTAAGAAGTCTCTGGTGTTGGATAGTCTTAGGCTATCTAAAGTGCGATTCTAGAATTTGCCTTTGTGTGTGTGTGTGTGCGTGTGGTTTTGAATTGAGGCTTTTCTGCATGCTAGCGCCCAGAACCTTCTTTAGTTCTGCTTTGGTAGGAGATTCATTTCTATTGAAGTGTGTGGTTGTAGTTCATTTACTGATGCGCCACACTATATCCTGCGAGTGTATCATGAGTCTACTAGTCTATTTCTGGGGAATGCTTTCCTTTATTCCCCCTACTTTCATGCTATTATAAAATACCACTATGATGGTTCAGAAATTTATGTCCAGTAGGCTTTGAGTGCAACACCCTAGAAGTGGGTCATAAAATCTATTATTTTGAGACATGGATTTTCCTTTCAAAATGATCTTTGCTATTTATTTTGTTTTGTGAGACAGGGTTTCTCTGTGTAATCCTGGCTCTCCTGGAACTCACTTTGTAGACCAGGCTGGTCTCAAACTCAAAAAGATCTGCCTGCTGGGTTCAAAGGTGTGTGCACCATGCCCAACTTATTTTTGCAAATTTAATTTCCAGCAGCGAAATATTGTAGTTTTATTCAAAACCTGATATCGCCACACACACACACAAACAACGAAAAGTAAAAGAAGAAGAAGAAGAAGAAGAAGAAGAAGAAGAAGAAGAAGAAGAAGAAGAAGAAGAAGAAGAAGAAGAAGAAGAAGTCTGCGTGCCCTTGGAGATACTTGGGGATCTGCGGGGGCCTTAGAGACGATAGAAATTTGAGGGGCTCAGTGAATGTGGTAGTCATTTAAAATCCGTGGAGCCCCACCCCTAGTTGAGCTAGAGGGATGATGACATTATCTTTTTTCCCCCATTTCATCTTCTCGCAGGAGTCCCGCAGTCTGAGCGCAGCATCAGCGCCCTTGGCAGAGACAGGCACTCCCCGCCGCTTGCGTCGGGCCCTGCCGCGCGGAGAGGCGGCGGGTGCGGTGCACGAGCTGGCGCGGGCGCTGGCGCACCTGCTGGAGGCCGAGAGACAGGAACGCGCTCGTGCCGAGGCACAGGAGGCGGAGGATCAGCAGGCGCGTGTCCTGGCGCAGCTGCTGCGTGTCTGGGGCTCCCCGCGTGCCTCGGACCCACCCTTAGCCCCGGACGACGACCCGGACGCTCCTGCTGCACAGCTGGCACGTGCTCTGCTCCGCGCTCGCCTAGACCCCGCCGCCCTCGCGGCCCAGCTTGTCCCTGCGCCCGCCGCTGCGCTGCGCCCCCGGCCTCCAGTGTATGATGATGGCCCCACCGGCTCGGATGTCGAGGACACCGGCGGCGAGACTCCTGATGTGGACCCAGAGCTGCTGAGGTGCCGGGGTCATGGGGAGGGAGGGCGAGATAATCAAAGCGCTGTCGTGCTGGAGCCTGAGGAAGTGAAGTCCTGGATCCCGGTACAACTGACAGATGCCCCTCGATCGATCGTACTGGGTGGGACTATGCAGGACTAGGGCTCCAGGGGTGGATCGCTTTCTGCCTGGAAAGGCACTTTCTGGGATGGAAGGCGGGGACCCCTGACTTCCTCTGAAAGTAGTGAGTCCCTCGGCTTGAGTGGGGGGCGGGGTGAGAACAACGAGGTGTTACAAAATTCTGTTCAGGTTCGGGACTACTGGGGTAACCAGTAGCCGCATCCTCACAGCATTCCACTCCACCTGCAGGTACTTGCTGGGGCGGATCCTCACCGGAAGTTCGGAACCAGAGGCTGCTGCTGCTCCGCGCCGCCTCCGCCGATCTGTGGACCAGGACCCGGGTCCTGAGGTGCCTCCCGAGAGTGTGCTGGGGGCGCTGCTACGCGTGAAACGCCTGGATAACTCCTCACCCCAGGCGCCGGCACGCCGCCTCCTGCCTCCCTGAGCGCTGCAGCATCCCGCAAGCCCTGGAACCCAGGAGCGCTCCAGCAACCCTGACTTCCTGCCAGCACGTCCACAGCCGCCTGCTGGGCAACCCTGAGATCCCCATCCCTTGAATCCTCAATAAATGCCATCTATAGCAGCTTTGTCTGAGTGGGGTGTTCTAGGGGCTGGTGGGCTGGGCGAGTGATAGTGGCTGTCTCTTCGGATCCACTACTGACATGGAATATGTCCCTGCCTAGTCTTTGCTTTCCTCCCTGGCAAAAAAGAACCTACACAGTGAGCAGTGAAGGCGTGCAGTACTCACCAGGTGCCTGGGATACCCTTCTAGGCTTCACAGAGATGGGGTTCCCTGAGAGGCTCTGAGGTCACTTTCAGCCTCTGCCTCGGGTCCATGGCACTAAAGGTCAAGGGGCTACACTTGTTGCCCACCAGGACCAGGGGTTGCTTGTTGTGAGAGCCCCAGGTGGGTTACATATGCTGCAGTTGGCCCAGACACCCAGCACACCAACTGCCAAGCCCCGACCACAAAGGACTGAATATTCAGGCCTTCATTGCCTTTACACTGGTTATTTATCTGCCCTCGATATGTGCACATTTTCGAACAAATGTCACTTCATAAAGCTTTTTTTTAACCTTCCTGCCATTGCCTCCTTTAATATATAGCTTCCATCGCTGTCTAATCTTCCGTTGTACAAGGATGGAGGTTTTTCTCTATATTCCTGGTATCCAAAACAAAATTGTACGAAAGCTGGCTGTAGCATAGACACCTGTAATACCACACTTGAGAGGTGGAAACAGGATGATCAACCAGGAAAGAGTTAAGTATCAGCCTGAACTACATGAGACCCTGTCTCAGAACAAAACAATTTGGCATGGTGGCACATACCTTTTATCCCATTATCCCAGGACTCAGGAGGCAGAGGCAAGGAGCTCTCATTTCCAGCCAGGGCGACATAATACACAGTAAGACTGTCTCAAAAAAAGAAAAGACATTATGGAGGTAGCTTTGAATCCTGAGAACATTTAATTTTGCATAAAGCTTCATAAAACACAGCCAATACTAGACAGCCCATGTTACCAACAACTCCTCACCAAATGAAAAATAAAAAGATGTCCATGGTAACTGTTATTTGGTGGGGAAGGGGACTCTTATGCCAAAGAGAATTGTCATCCTGGTCTGCTGTGAGCGATATTCAGGCGACAGAGCAGCCACAGCTACAGACGGCTTTGTGGTGTCGGGGCTTCTTCATGCTTGCCTCCACCACCGCCTCCTGGGCCCGCTGAATCTCATGGACAAGCAGAGAAAAGGCTTCCTCTACACCTTGCCGTGTCTTGGCTGAGGTCTTTACGAAGGGGGCTCCCCACTTGTGAGCAAGGACAGCTGCAGCAGCCTGAGCATCTCCAGTAGAGGTCACTAGGTCACTCTTGTTGCCCACGAGTACTAGAGGCTGCTTCTGATGAGGGCTCCAGGACGACCAGATCTGCTGTAGCTGATCCAGAGATGAGGGGTCATCCAGAGCAAAGACTCCCAGCACGCCATCACCGGCTGCCAAGCACTGGTCACGAAGGGACCTGTGAATATCTTGCCCCGCTGTGTCCAGCACATTCAGAATGTAGCCCCCGTTGTCCAGGGCCACCTCCTTCCAGTAGGAATCCTGAATAGTGGGGTCGTGGTCTTTGACGAAGCAGTTGTGGGTCATCTGGATAGTGAGAGCACTTTTCCCAACACCACTTGCGCCCACCACCACTGCCTTGTACTCCGGAAGCTGCCTACCAGCATTTTTGCATTGTGCCCAAGCTTCGTGGCTTTCCTCTGGTGATCTGGTGCACTGTGTGTTGGAGCTCAGGTCCAAGACGCTAGACCTTGTCGGCAATGCCATTTCCCACCAGTCAGCTCAAGGAAGAGATACAAATAGCCGCTGCTGAGAGAAGACAATGACAGGTGAGACTGGTTGGAAGAAATGAGACCCCCCAGGTGCCATTGAATCAACACAGTTAAGTATACCTGGCTGTTTTCTCCTTATTTGGGGGTGGGGCAGGGTCTTAACCACAGCTCTAGCTAGCTTGGAACTTGTCCTACAGGTCAGGCTGACCTCAAAGTTTCAGCAAGCCTCCTGCCTCTGCTTTCCCAGTGTTAGTGTGCCCCACCAAGTCCAGTTTCTTTCTTTTAGAGATAGAAGGCAGTTTTTCTTTTAGCAAGCCTGGGAATCAAACCCAGAGTCTCTATCATTCAACTACTCCTTCAACACCGAGCAGGGATATTTGTTTTTCATATATATCTCATTTTTAAAATTGCAATTTTTTTTTTGTGCATGGGAGGTATTGGATTGGGATAGAGGGGGACTTAACCCTTGCAGGAGTAGGGTTGTGCTTGTGTAATAGCATTTGTGTGGCCGTCTAAGGACAATCTATGGAAGGAGGTTTTTTTTTTTTTTTTTTTTTTTTTTTTTTTTTTTTTTTCCTTCCCCTGCAGGAGTAAGGTAGTCAGGTTTGGGAGCAAACGCCTTTATCTCTGAACCACCTGGCCTGCCCTGGGATTTTTCAAGTCTTGCTTCTACTGATATCAGCATGCACTCCATAAAGCCCACCCAGTTAAAATGTGCGGCGCCTGTGGAGCCATCACTATAGCCGAATTTGAGAATGTTGAAAGTTTTGACCATCTTTATCTTGCGGAAAAGAATCTCTGTCCCATAGCAGTCTCTCTCCATTGCACAAGGAGAGTGGGATTTGGTGTGGTTTGGTTGTCTTTGAACCCCAGCTTAGCACAGTAGTGACTGTCTGGTGATTGAATGGCTGCTTGGAACTTTCCCACCCAAGAGGTCTATGTTCTAAAGAACATCTTACTGCCGAAGTTCAAGATCAGCCTCGGTTACAAACCACATTGGGAGCCGACTCTATCTCAACAACAACAACAACAAAAAAGAAAGACAGAAAAGAAAAAGGCAAACCAAATCATGTAGCCTAGTAACCACCTGTGTGAGGCAGGGACATAGGCACAGAAAGTAAAAACACTGGGGATGTGGTTCAGTTGGTAGAAAGCTTGCTCGAATTTCTGGATCTGATCCTGAGTATAATACAAAAGCAGGCAGAGGGCCAGCAAGACAGCTCAGGAGATACTACTAATGCTTGCTGGAAAAGCCCAGCAAGCTGAGTTTTCACTGGAGCCCATGTTAATTGGCGCACAGGTTTATCCCAGCACTTAGAAAGCACAGGCAGGTGAATCTCTGGGAGTTCCAGATGAGCCAGGGTTATAAAGGGAGACCTTAACTCCAAAAACCAAAGCCACTGCCACCAGCAACAAAAATCTCAAAACAGCAGCACTCCCAACCAAAGCAACCTTAACTGCTGTGAACTAACATTACTTTCTACATTTTATTTTATAATCCACACCGTTGCCTATAATCTCACGTTGTTTGGCACCAGATAAGTTAATTTTAGGTATTTTATTATTTAATTAAAAAAAATCTTCCTGTACGCCAAGCATTGATATGGCACGAAAAACAAAAACAAAAAAAAAACCGACTCAACTCCTGGGGCCTTGGAACAATGCTAGTGAAAAGAGGGACAATAAATATGATAAGTAAGGAAATTATCTTACATAGTAGAAGAGGTTAGCCACACAGCAGGTGCTCAATTTGTGTTAGCAAGTCATTAGCTCACTGAATGCACCTCCATATCCGGTTGGGGAAGGGCCTTCCGAGAGAGCCCCGGAATGGTGGTTGCCATACAGTTCACTAGAAACTGGGAGGGGTGGCAGTGGGGGCAGGTGGTGGGTTCCAGGGGTCCCCAGCAGATTCGGCAGCGGTAGCCTTTGGGGAAGTGAACAGAGATGGGGGTGACAGGGGAAGGTCTTAGGTGGAGGGATCCTTGAAAGGGGTGCAGGGTAAGAAGAAAGGTGGGCAGAGAACGGAGCTTTGGAGTAGGGCAATGTTTAGGGATGCAGAGAGGGAAAAGTCTGTAGAAAGAATCAGGATGGCCTCCGTGACGAGGCCCAAATCATAGAACCCAGGGGCTGGGGTGGCAGTCGAACAGGTGGAAAAGAGAGGTCAGGTTCTGGTGGAAACGAACAGCTTCCTTTCCAGATTAAAAGACGAGGGTCAGGAAAGAATCATTATTAAACTTGGGGCTAGAGCAACTGCCAATCTAGGGGTGCTGTGACCAGAGGTGGGGATAAATATGAGACGGGCGCCTCCCTAAGGTGCTAGCGATTAGCACAGTGATGGTAGGAGCTTGGGGGAGGCCGAGTGAGCCCCCAATATGGCCACTCAATCTCATCTTTGTGATACCTCAGGAAGGCAAGGGCTATATAGTCTCCAGGTCTTTTATTCCCAAGAAACGGGAAAGAGTGAGGGGACTGGCCCCAGGCTCCTCGGCAGGAACGGTAGATACATCACAGACCGGCGCTTCGGCCCTCAGCTTAACTTACACAGAGCCTCTAAAATGTGGAGTGTTGCTGAAGCATCCCCAGAGAACTCTGTGATCCCTGTGGACACCGGCTTTGAGCCGCTTGCACCAGTCTTCTGAACTCGCATCTCTGACCCAGGAAGGCTGGAGCCCCAGGAAGGCGAGGAGAAGCAGGCTGGGCACACGGGGTCAAAGAGGGAAAGGGCACCGGGTTGGTCCAAATAAGAGAGCTCCTCGGTGTCCTTCCCAGGGTTAGCTTGGACACCAGGGTTAGCTTGGACAACTCGCCTGATCTCTGCACTTTCCCGTGTCAGGTGAAGTGTAAAGCTCGGAGTTGGGGAAGGGCGGCCCTGATCCGCGCTCCTCCACTTCGGACTCAAGTTAGAACGGTGGCAGTAGCGCCCTGGCGCTCCTTTCTTCTCCCACCTTAAGAAACAGCCTTGCTTCCCGCTCAGCACAGGGCACTTAGGCACTCGACTAAGGTGAAGCTGAAGCGAGTGCAGAGTGTGAGACTCACTCCACAAGGCAAGGACGGGGAAGGGGCCCTGGAACCCTGCGCCAAAAGAAGTCTGCACCAGGAATGCCAGCGTTCCGCTTACCTGTGTCCCCGGAGTGGCGGTCTGCTGAGGGGCGGCAGGCTGTTCTGGCCGGACAGTCTGGGGGTTAGGATGCTCCCTACCCCCAGCAGCGGCAGAGGGCGGGGATGTGGGTTTGCCCCCTCCCACCTGCCCGACCCCTGACCCCCGCCTTCCCCCTCTGCCTTCGCACAATGTGGAGAGCAAATGTGGGCGGGACCTCCACCTGCCCCTCTCTACACAGCAACCCCCTCTCAGGCCCGCCCCTCCCTCGCCTGGATTGCTTGCTTTAGGGTTGGTTCAGCTTGGGCCATTTGTGTGTGTACAGGATTTGACCTGGAAGACATTTTGGAAACCATTTTGTGGTTTTTTTTTTGTTTGTTTGTTTGTTTTGTTTTGTTTTGTTTTTTTTGACTCAGAGAACTTGTATAACTTCAGCTGTGTTTCTAGGTAGCTCTGGGGTAGTTGTGTCTGTCGTGAAGGGAAACAGTTACAGAAGTGCTGTTTTATAAGGACAGAAAGAACCTGATCTGAGGCAGAAGTGCAAGTTACAAATCCCTCAGACTCTCTTGCAGCTATGACAATCCTAGGCTAGAATTCTGAGCACGTAAGGTGGGATATCTGTAATGCTTCCCTAAAGGAACTGAACTGGGTTGCAACTTAGCTCAGGTGGTAGTGCTTGCTAAGCAGGCAGGCACTGCATAGAACATATGAAGTAGCATCCTGCTGTCATCCCAACATCAGGGAGGTGGAAGCAGAAGGCTTCAAAGTACAAGGTTAAGGCTGGAGAGATGGCTCAGGAATTAAAAATACTTGGTGCTCTTCCACGACACAGGTTAGATTTTCAGCACCCACACAATGACTCAAAACCATCTCCAGTTCCAGGGGATCTGTCACCCTCTTCTGGCCTCTGTGGCACCAGACATGTACATGGTGCAGAGACTTACATGCAGATGAGACATTTATACAAATAAATTTAAAAAGGATGTCCAGGGTCAGAGTGTGAAATCAGTCTGACTCATAGGAGACACTATCTAAAAGGGGTGGGGTGCAGAGCTGCCCTTGTCTTCTTGAGTAGCCCAGTCTTTGGAATCAGAAGGTGGCAATCAACAAAATTCCTAAACACCAGCCAAAGTAATTTTCGGATGTGGAATTAAAGTCCAGAAAAGTCCTTCAGTTATCCAACTCTGGTAAATGGCACGACCATCTTCCCCTCGGGATACCACTCATAACTGCTACATCTAAGAGTGACTCTTCCCTGGGTGACCAGCAAGTCAATGAGTGATGGGCAAGCACAGTGACACTGACACTACTTTCTGACAGTTTTCAGTCTTCTCACCCTAGAGTTCAGCTGGGACAGACTGAGACCCTTTAGTTGTCTGCGTCTTTAGTAGCTCTGACTGACCTAGAACTCTGCTCTGTAGACCAGGCTGGCCTTGAACTCAGAACTCCACCTGCTTCTGACTCCCATTTGGAGATAAAAGGCTTGTGTCACCACCATGCCTGGTGAGACTCCTATTCTGTGGTAGGTAATCATTTTATCATGAATTATATTATTTAATTTCCAATAGAGCCAATCTAGCTGCCTGCTTCAATTTGAGATTTTTTGGGGGGTGATGGATGGACAGTTCGTTTGATGACAATCCCTCCACCCCACCGCTTTCTTCTCCCCTCCCTTTTTTGTCAGCTGTGGTGGCTGGGAATGAGGGTTTTTTTTTTAATTAAAAAAAAAAGCTTTCTTCAGGTTTTGTAACAACTTAAACTTTATTAAATATGCAAGCCTGCTATAACTGCCAGTTGTACCCTTCCATGTCATCCTTGTGATTTCAGCTCCTAAGTTGTCCCTCCTTCCTTCTGGGGTAGAACAGTAATGTTCCTCGAGCAGGCAGTGAGCAGGGGCAGATTTACAACTGAACATTC